GCCACCGAAGCGGCTGCTTTTGTACGAATTTTGAGTGACGGGTTAATCTTCTGTAATCTTGTAGGGGGCAATAACGACTTCTGCGACACAAGAGGCATTCTCGGGAAGAGGGGAGTTCCTGCTTCCCCTCTTCTCTCGTCGTGACCGGAGGCGAGACGAGAGAAGAGAGAGTTTAATTCGTTTTAAAATTCCTTTTTGAGACTTTTTTTTTTAACGAGATATTGCTATGTAGAGATACTACAACAAAATTTCGGCGCTCATTTTTTTGTCTATATCTGTTCAAAGGAGCAATATCACATAAACATACCAATATCTTGTTAAAAAAAGTCACGAAAAGGAATTTTAAAACGAATCAAACGATTAGCAAAGAGCACCTGGTGGATGTCGCTAACGCCTCGCTTGTCATGCCCGTCTAGGAACCTTGACAGCTAGTGACGGAGGTTGTCTCGCCTCCGGCCACGACGAGAGAAGAGGGGCAAGAGGAACTCCCTTTTTCCCGAGAATGTCTCTTGTGTGTCGCAGAAGTCGCTATTGTCCCCCTACAAGATTACAGAAGATTAACCCGTCACTTAAAATTCGTACGAAAGCAGCCGCTTCGGTGGCTGGAACGACTACGCCATCCTCTCGACGTCAGCCTCGCCGTAGCTTTGCTCGTCCTGAGACGACCTATGTCACGATTGCGTTGGATGTCACGTGGTCTCCGCTGGGCCTTCTCCGAGCGCTTGCCAGAGTGGGCCGTTTATAACGAAAAATACAGCCACCAGGCTCAAAATGCAAACGTGCGATTGTCATTTACGGATATCGTGGATCATATTCAACCTATTTTTAACACGACGGGAATATTTCAAATTTCGTTGAAGTATCCCTTTAAACGTCCCACGGACCTCACGTGCAAGGATTGTTTCACGGACTTTACAGCACGCACGTACGTACCGACCGGGCGAGCCAATCCGGCGTCAGCGCCGTGGCTAGGGTGCCTGCGTGTTAACAATACGGACCGGGCGATGACGTTGGGTTGGACAGGTAGCGCCATCTTATGCCGAATTTCCGAAACTCTTTGGCGGTCCGGGGCAGCAGTCATTAGACTCGATCTCGAGCTTCAACGTCCGAGCATCCTGCCGGTCTTTGAACCAGCGCTCGTGTCTGTATTTGGTGTCACCCCAAGAAAAAAGTGAAGGTTATATTGGACTATCGTAGCATTCTGCAGAGCACTTCATCTGCGCACTGTACCTGTCATGCCAGGGCTATACGAACAAAGTTTCCTTTGCCATTAGACCACCTATTCTTGTTCTGCACAACATGCTTCCTCTCGTCTTATCAATCCGATACATCTCTTCAGGTGTGTCCTTCCATCTTCGTACTTATTGATTACACGCCGTTTGACAGGTTCATCCGCTCTACGAAATAGACCTTTAAAAACTCGCCGTCATAAAGTGAGGATTTTTTCAGCGCGGTAAAACTCCATATATTGGAAGAAGATAAATTAGAGATGCTCCTAACACGAACGATTAAATTTAATTGCAATTCAAGATTCAAGGATCTGTTCTTAGCCGCCGCCAGCCACCGGATGCCAGCTTTCCAAAATGGAAGCTTCAACTGCTCGAGCGGCGGTGTTGAGTTTAGACACCCTATGTTCCCCACGGCGTTGCCTCAGGAACCATGTACGTTGAGGTGTCCCGTCAAGTCAGATATGGCCAGAAGGGAAAATGTATTTTATATGGCTTTCTTTGGACCGGCAGACAGTACCGAGACAAATACGCATATGAAGTTGTAAAGGGCGATTCATACAGTTGCGTTGAGTCGGACGGAGTGCGACTGCAACCGGTTTTTAAGCCTCTTACGACCGCGCCGCCTAGCAGTATAGTCGGTTGTAAGCGGCTTAAAACCCCTGTTGCCATAGCAGTCCGTTAAAGAATTAACGTCGCAAGCCGCTGCAGTCAAGCACGCAAGTGTGTGGACCAGCCTTGCTGGTTCACACCCTTGCGTGAGTCCGACCGAGTGCGACTGCAACGGCTTGCGGCGTACCGGTTGCTATGGCAACAGCTGCGTCGGCTCCAACAAAACGGGGTTTTTGTTTTAGCCGATGCAGCTGTTGCCATGGCAACCCGTACGTCGCAACCCGTTGCAGTCGCACTCGGTCGGACTCGATGCAAGTGTGTGGTCACCCTTTAAAGAGAAGCTGAAACTGCTAAAAAAAACAAAAGAATTAATGCTTCTTTTTGGTGTAGTTTTTTCTGGAGAATCTAAATATCCCCCATCGCTTGTTCCCAAAACACTACTAAACGTGAATAATAATTGGGGTTGTGGGGCTGTTTAGACAGTGTGTAGTTGGTCAGCCATTTCAAGGTTGCGACGAGTCACTCGGTGAAGATGAGCAATTTAGCCAGTGCAGTACAACCGTTAGCCTGGGGTCTTTAAGGTGCACCACGCAGTAGTGATAGACGACCGCACGCCGGTACGATGCTCATCCAGATCGAAACGGGCCGGGGGGGGGGGGGGGGGGGGGTGGAGGGGGGGAGGTTTGAACCCAGGATTTCTGGGTTCTGCAGTGCGAGCATTCGCTCCACGTGTTCCGAGCTGGTGTGCGCAGTGTGCGCTAGTCTACTCGGCCACCAATCCACCCACTAAACGTGAAAAGGAAAAAAAAAGAAAACATATGCAGCTGCTTGCTGCCGCCGAACGTCATTGGTTGGTCGAGCCGTGATGTCATAAAATGAGCAGGCGCGATTCTAATTGCACCTGTCGCTCAACTATCAACTGGAATTCCTTACGTCGTTTCGCCTCCGCTTCGCGTAAGCTCCTCAAATTCGCTGAGGTGCCTGCCTCTTCTGAAGAAAAATGCTCGGACCTGCTAGACTAGCAACCTTTTAGTGAAGGTAAACCTGTTCTTCCACACCCATTTGTTCTGAGATATGAAACTAATGGTCGTGAAAGAAAATCTTCAGTAAATGGTTGCTAGTCCAGCAGTGTGTTTGTCCTCTTTGTTCTCTCTCTCTCTCTCTCTTCGTGTGTCTTCCTACCTTCAGCTGGCATCTTTCAGAAGCATGAACCGCCGACGATGCACGACGCTGGCTCTACGAGTCGACGAGCACGCGCGAGAAACCTTTCGTGACGTCATTTTTTTCTTCTCCCTTTACTGCCCTCTCCCACTACCGCGGGAGGGCGTGGTTTTAATACAACTTCAAAGGCGTCTTTCTAGGTCATGCGCGCATGAAATAGCCTACTTTTTGTGATGTTCGCCATGCTTGGGGTCGGATTAAAACTAATCAAGTCATTTTAATCCAATTCAAAGCAGCTTCATTTTCCTTTTAATCTTGCTTACCGGCGTTTGTCTTGGCTTTCTTTACTAAGTAACCAAGCTTTGAAAACTCCATTGAAAAAGCGCCCGAGCTGTCGTAGAATGTGGAGGTGGATGGCTAAAAGGCGACGTGCTAACGTCGGTGGCTTTGAAAGTTCGCATGTACACCTTTTTTTGTCGAGGTGTAAATTTCAAGGGATATGGCCACTGCCCTCAGAGAAGACGACGTACTGCTGTTTTGCTTTGTGTGCACTCTCTATAATCTGCTGATGAATTTTGGCTTTGGGAAATTAAAACGGCACCGCAATTTAGAAGCACATTCTCGAGTTGAGACGACGGTACCAAAAGAATTAAGTTAATTCTGGCTATAGAATTTTGAATGTCTGGACCGATAGCACCGTAAAATCAGTAGGCGATCCGTTTTTGTTTAGACTGATTCCCGGCCTAGAGTGGTGCACGTCTGCCGAGAAAAAAGAGCTGCGATAAAAGAAATGCATAGCAAATTGCTTGGAAATTCTGTTGCACGTGAAACTTTTGCCGTCTACGCCCTCGGCGCTCTTCGTCGGTTAGTTTAGCGACCGGGTTAACGCGTGGCATGCACACTCGATAGCGATTTTCGGAATGGAGATACTGGCGCCAATCCGGGTTTTAAAAACGCGTGGCAGGGTGTCAAGGATCTATCTGCCAGACGCAGAGCGGATGTCCCGCAGGGCTTTCCCGCCAAATAGCACCTGAACTGACGGCAATGTGTGGCGACATACTGGAAAGACGCTCGCTTAGCAATGGAAGTGGTCTTTTTTTACAGCGATGGCCCTCTTCTTCCCCCTCCCCCCCCAAACACACACACATACACAAACACTCAGAGGTCAAAACCAATCAAAGTCGAGCTTCGCGGCCACGCTTCTATCCAGGCTTCACTTCTCGGCTTCACGGAATGCCAAAAACCCAGCCAAAGAACGTTTCACGTTGAAACGAAGACAGATTGGAGAGTACGCGGGAGAAACACAGCGCTCTTTTACTGCACTGTAAAAAATGGGCCGTCAAAATTACGGTAAGTTGACCGGCATTCTGGCTGCCAGCAACTTCTCGTAATTTATACGGGAGACCGTAAATTCAAATTTACTGCCTGACCGTCATCTCCCAGTAAATTAAACGGTCGCAGTAAAAAAAGATACCGTTAATTTTACGGGGCGATGCTGAACACACCGTAAACGAGATTTACTGACTGCCGCTAAGATCACGGCATGGTGGCAGTTTATTTGCCGGTCAACTGACTGCTAATTTAATGGTCACCGTAAAATTGTTGACCGTTTAATTCACTGCCAGTTGGCCATCGTAAGAAGTAAATTGAAGGTGCAAAATGCTGGCACAATGAAGCGCTAGCACTTCGTACAACATGTCAGAAAGTATGCAAAATTCGACAAAAGTAAGCATTGTCGGATTCTATCATCTACCCAGCGCATTGTACGACATGCTTAGCGTTTCACCGCACATGTTTTGCTGCTTCGATTTACTTCCTACTACTGGTCAACAGACAATGAATCAAACAATGGGTCATGAAGTCTCCTTAGGTTAGCCATTTTGTGCCTGTAATATATGTGGCATGCTGTTTATTGTAATTGTAGTGTGGTCTTCATGTCTGCAATGCGATCGTTGTGTATGTACATGCAAATGCAATTAAGCCAGAACACAGCATAAATTGTGTGTAGGATAGAAATAAAAACAGAACATTTATTTACTTGGATGATGAAGACCCAGGTCCATATACCCTCTGATCTGGAAAAGAAAGAAACCAGTTATCAATATAACATATATAAATGTGCCAAAATAGAAGCAATTTAACAGATATGTTGTATAATGTTAGCCACGCTTTATTCACTGTGGAAAGAAACTAATGATGCTGATATTGCTTACAATGTTTGAAAGAAGCTTTATGTGACAACTGAACCCCCCCTCTAGCTTAGCTTGTCCTAATCAAGTAAAACTTCATTATATCTCAGTAGCTATATATTAGCCATGTAGTACATGTATTCTGGTTTTCTCGAATACCATTTCAGTATCCCAGCACAGCCCCTATATACCTGGGCAAATGAATGAGAGGATATGCACAAAGTTTGGCAGAGAGTGCTGCACAAAAATACAGCTATTTTATGGGAAAGCCTACTATTTACTTACTAGACATTTTTCAACTTAAGAGCTGAGTGAGTTTGTTTTCAAAATCAGGGGTTGACATTAATTAAGCAGCACACATAGAAATTTACTCCTCCTCTTCATCGAGAGTTAAGCTGGTTGAGTCTTGTTGGCACTAACGTAGAACTAGTCTTTCTCCACCACCAGAGACTGCAATTCTCTTGCCACCGTGCAGTATTGAAAAGGCATCATTAATCTTTCTCTGACATGTTCGCACCATAAGAGATATGAATAGTCGTGGCCGGTTGCATCAGGGCTAGCTGCGAACGTCAGGCTTAGCTGGCAATAGAATCTCTGTGCACTGTGCCTAGTGTCACTTCAGATAAACAAATGGTTAAAGCAGTGTGCTCAGCACTTCAATTTTAGATGATATCCAAAATAAACAAGGACAGCTTGTGATGCAGCTGCTACTTACATGCTTCTCATTTCATCGACCTATATTTGCCATGTATAAGGTGCACTATACCTAGTGTGGCATCATTTCTCTTAAAATATATGACTGCATGTTAACCATGTCTCATTTCTAGCATCACATAGACATTTTTTCATGTAATTATAGGCAGCGTAGTAAAGCTATGCTTGAGTTTTAAGTGAGGCTAGGTAAGTTATGTTTCAACCCAATAGTGTTAATGCAGCAAAAGAACCGGCGTCCAGCGTCGGCATGTCGAGAAACCCCTCAATGTTTTGCGCCACGATCCCTTGTGCATGCAAGGGATCATAGGATTCCCCCCCCCTCCCCACTGCTGCCCTCCCTGCCCTTGCCCCCACCTCCCCTCTCCTCCTCCACCCCCTGCCCTCCCGCCAACGTGTCATACATTAAGGCCGAGCATAAGTGTCCCCCCCCTTTTTTTTTTCACACAAGCAGCTGGGTGCTCGATCATTATCATACTCACCAAATTTAGACCCAAGTGCCATTGCTTATGGCTGCTGAAATCTTCCTGGTGCCAAGACCTTGCGTTGAATGAGCCCGAGCCCCATGTCGCATGCCTCGTTCCCACATAAGATGACCGACCTTCAACAGACATATTCAAACAGAACAGAATGAGTAGAAAACCACAGACTGAAAAAATCAAGGAAAGTAACTCCAAGCTAGTGCTGATGTGATGTAAACGGTCAGAGTAATTTCGGAGCACCTTCTGGGCCAGCCAAAAATATATTTTTAAGCAACAAAAGGAAGTTTTGGATTTTGAAAGCACACTTCCTATTCATTTTGTTATGAATACTACATTAAGATACATCTGTTTGCCTGTCAAAACTAGAAGACAATGCCTGCTTTCCTTTCCCACCCCTGTGTTACCACTAGTGTCGAGTTCAGGGTAAAAAATTCTGTAACATAGTTATTCACAACAATTGCATTTAACAAAGATTTTTATGTTTATTCTAACATGTTAATTTAACTAGTAATATATCCGTTCAAGGAATATTACTACTTGATATGTCCGCACTGTTATCAACAATACTAACATCTCCATCATTTAATCCATGCACTAAATAATATACATGTTCAAATTTGCGGGCCATGTTAGTGCGTGAACTTTTTAGGAGACCCTGTACTAGCAAACGACTTGGTTTTTGAAATCTTACACCAACTTAGAATTTTCAGATTATCATTTCTCAACTTCCCTGTCTATTCAAAGACATGTGGACCATATGTTTAAATGACAACTTTCCTTCCCAAGCATGAGCCTCTGCTACAGCGAGACGAGATATGCAGAATCAGTGTGAAACCTGTGGGTACCACCTCTTTGTGGTGCACAAGTGTATGGTTAAAAGTGCGCCCAATGGTGGTGGCTAACTAGATTGGACAGACCACACATAATGCCGAAAATTCCCAAACTTGAAAGCACAGCATCAATTTTACAAAAGTAAAATTGAATAGTATATTGTCCAGAGCAGCAATAAATTTTGATTATTTGCTCAAGCCCACTCTGATGGTCCAGCCATGAAGCAGGGTCTTATTCACTGCTTTCTATAATAATGGGATGAAGTAATGTGTGGCGAAATGTAGGCATGAGCAGTATCACAACAATGTAAGAAAAAATTTAGGCAAGCTTGATTATGCTCACAAAAGCTATGAAAGGTCAGAATGTGTTGGGCTCACTCAGATGTATGGTGTGTGTGGTTATGTGACCATCTGACTATGACCGATTCACTATTTGCAGTATGATCAGGTGACCACACACTGGTGATGGTTATGTGATCCCATTATTCCCAGAATGGTGACAAGCTGGGTGGGACTCTGCGAACAATGATGGCGAACACTCATTCGCCAGAATCAATGAAGAACCATTATTGTGAACTACCTCATCACATCCCCTCCCAGACGGGTAACAGTTGCAAAATTGCCTTTAATATTTCACGAACTAACCTTTCCAGGTACCTGTCTACAGCCGGAAATTTTGCTCTAAAATAAGCTGTGTGATATCATTGTTTTGATATCCAGCAGAGATAATTTGATAAAGGGGCCGACTCACGAGAAGTACTAATCAAGCGCCAAATTCAATTTTTTTTTTTTTTTTTTGCAAAAATTGAAGTGAGAGCATTTTTTTTTGTAAATCCATCACTGGCAGAAAAACACACTATACCAGTGAGTAATGCTTGTAGTTTGCTAAGTGGTCTGTTACAAAACCTTCACATACTCTTCGTTAGTGGTAAATGTATCCCTGCATCTATCTATCTCTGAGAATTATTCTTCCTCTCTAGTGACAGTGGACTCTTACGCTCATTGAATTATTTCACCTTCTTCTGCTTCTCTTCAAAATAAGTCTCATGTCCACTTCCCATTTATTAAGTGAACACTGTAGTGAATCATACTTACAGCCTCACACATTCCACTCCAGCTCTGCTATTTTCTTGACCAGGTTAAGTACTTTCTTGTTCACTTCCGACTTGGAGCGCTTGGCTCTGGTGCCACGGTCAGGGTTCATGCTCAGGAAACCTCTGCAATAAGCATCAGTGCCATGAAAGAAACATTTCATCCAAGTTGGTAACCTGAAAAGTTAGTCAATTTAGTCATATGTGTCACATATGTATACATGACCGAAGGGAGAGACTAGAAGAAAGTAAAATATTTAGTAAAGAGAATATCAGGAGGGGACAAACTGCGGCTCGTGAGCCGCATGCATCTCTTCATGCCCCCCTATTGCAGCTCTCCTAACCTGAGGACCCACAAGTTATAATAGGTGGGACCAAACACTAAGCTTGTATACAAAAACGTTAGTGAGAAGCGGGAGCATATCAAAATATGCAATATTGCTGGAGTTGTTTCGTTGTAGATGGGCACGTTAAAATGACATGTAATGGTCAGAAGGGGCAAATCAGTTTGAAAGATAAGCTCTATTTTTTTATTTTCTTGTTTATTTCACCTTTACATGCCAGGTTGAGGTAGTGTTAGCTTTGTGCTTAAATGTTTCCCTAAAATTGATTTCTGAGCTTTGTTATTACAATGCAGTCCAGCTGCCTGATGAAATACCAAGACCACTGGCCTATGCATACATGCAATTGAAGCTGTTTGACTGCTCGATCTGTGGACTCTGCTCGGGTGCAATTTCAATAAAAAGTGCAGCATTGGTGCAGGATGTGGGAGCTATAGTTGTTTGGAGCTGGCGGAAGCAATTGGGACAGCCTTCCAATCAGCGAGATATGTGCTCTTCTATTTCACAAATGAGAAGGAAGGTACCAACTGTGGCTCTATGTCTTTCATGACAGTAAATGTGCAAGGTGTTTGCTTTATTTCGATAGGAACAATAAGCCTGGAAATGATATAGATAAAAAGTATGGAGTCCTACTAGGCATCCACATACATATACCAAAATCACAGAACAGGAAATTACCTCTGAAGGAACTCGAGGGTCGATGACAGGCCTTCAGCGTAGCAGATGTTAAAGCAATAGTGACTCGCGAAGAGTGCAGCCCATGCCGTAGGGACGTCTGGTATCTTCTGAACCATGAGCCTGCCATCAATGCTGAGTGCGTACTCGTGGGCAGTCCACAGATCATCCCCTACAAAAGTTTAAAAAATGAGAAAATAGTAAACATTCAGATAAGTAGAGTTGCTGACAAGGCATTGGAACAATGGGGCTGGGCTGCACCTCCAGATCGTGGACATTTCAAATAATTGTAAAAACAAAATGGGAGAAGGGAAGGGGCCCAGCTTCGTCCCTCCCACCCTCACTGCCGGTCTCCCCCCCACATTCGAAACACTTCCAACATTACTTTTTGCCGACAGGAGATGAGATCCTTGGCTCGATTTGCCTTCCCTCCACTATGAGTGAGCTTGCTTGAGTGTAGGCCAGTCAGAATTCTACTCCAGAAAGGGAGAGGATGGCCTGTGAAGGCACCTAGGCAAATGTTCACTGGTTAGTGGAGGGGAGACATGTGCCACCAAAACTGAACAGGAACCTCGAAGGCCCTCTCCCTCCCCAGTTGCACATGACCACCGCATTCGCATGGATACTCGCTGTATCGTTACATCTAGCACATACTTCTATTGGTTGCAAAGAAATCGAATGATTTGTCACTTCTAGCAACTTCGGAAACGTGTGTTGTCGCTATGGGCTATAGGTAGCCATTGTAGATTTCATGAATTGTCTGACAGACATGTGAAACACTTTAAATGATTTGTATTTGATTTAAACTCTGAGACCTGCTTTATATTTAGTTATCAGTGTTTTTAGGTTTTTATTGTTCTAGGATTTGACATACTTCTTTTGGCTTTTATTTAGAAATTTATCTATTTATTTATTTGAAATACTGTGGACCTGTCGTTCCACACAGGAGGGGAAAAAACAACACACAGAAATAACTCAATCATGCACTCACCGTATGAGGCGAGTGCAGGTAGGTTGCAGCAACCCACGCATGCTCAAAAACATTTCCACATGCAAAATTTAACCAAACAATTGATTCAGCTGTGCTTCAAATAATTGAGGACTACAACAATTGACAACTTGCTCAGGCAGGGTGTTCCACTCAATAATAGTCCGACAAAAGAAAGAGTATTTAAATACATCATTTCTGTACTGGTAGGGTTCAATTGCTTTAGTATTGCTTGTTCTTTTGGAGCGTGATGTTGAAGGCAAAAATGTACACTTCAGAATTAATCTTTGTCAAGCCATTATTAGCAACCGCGTATAATTCCTTTAATCTACACACTTTCCTTCTTTTCTCTAAACAATCTAGCCGCACTTCATTTCTCATTGCCGTAACTAACTCTGTGCGCCTATACTCAGAAAAAAAACCGAAGTGCCAGATTCTGTATCCGTTCAATTTGCGCAACCTGCTGCTTCCTGTATGGGTCCCATACGCACCCCGCATATTCCAAGATCGGACATACATTTTCAATTTTATCGGCAAACATTTTTAGAAATGAAAGCTTACCGGTTTTTTTTTGGTGAATACACATCGACTACTTCCATTTTTCAATGAGGTCGCTCCAAAACGCAGTACATTAGACAGATATCTGAATTATATATCCGCAGCAATAATTCCTGACATGACAAACATAACCTTGGTTAGCACTTTGTAAGGATGACGACAAATTCTAAACTGTGAAATTCACAAGCGTAACTATTGGCACTTTTCTGCTCTTCATATTTATAGGATTATCAAAACTGCTTCCCACTAACCAGAGAGAAGCTTGAGGAGGTGTTAAAACAGCTCCCCTCCCCATAAAAAAGAAACAGTGGAAATCAAAGGGCGTGACAAACAACAAAAAACTCCAAATCTGGCTTTTAGAAGACGACACCAACTTGATGCACAAGGACTGAGCCACAAAATGAATGCAGATTGCATCCACGACAAACCCAAGTACTCCCTAAAGAGTATTGTCCTGCAGACCCTCCACCAACAGAACACTTCACAGTTACGTAGGTGAGATAGTCGACTACTCAGTCAAGTGCGACGACATATCCCGTCTCCTCTTGGCTTGCCATAGTGGCCTGAAATACTGACCTTTCTCGTTTAAAACTGAATTTACAAAAATTAAGTTGCCACTTTTACTGCTTTAAACCAAAAACGCCAAACACCATTTTTATTTATATTCTACTTCTGCATTAATAACAAGTTGTAACATTAGAACTTGAACTTCTGGAACTTAGTTCAGGGACAGGGCTAATTTGTAGTACATATAATGATACAATCTATTCATAAACATACCCAGTGCTATAATGCAAGGAGAAATTGGCAGGTCCTCCTCGACTTCAGCAGCAGTTAGAAATGGCTGTAAAAATTGAAAGACGCATGGTTATGTTAAAACAAATCCCCGCTTCCACAACCACTAATTCTTACAAGGCCACTGAAAACATTGGGCACTAAAATGACAGAAGAGACCAGAAGGGACGAACAAGAAGGGCCATGCACACAAGTTCCCTCACTGGGATAGCTTCGGAGTCGATGCACACAAGTTTCCTCACTGGGATAGCTTCGGAGTTAATGTCTCTACGTTGCAATGAATATGTTGAACGCATGAGCGTAAGGAATTCATCGGTGTTGGCTGGCTTTTCACGAAACATTGCCTCCAATCTCTCTTTGTCTCTGTTCATCTCCAGCTCTTCCTCAGGTGTTTAATCTGGGGAACTGCTCTGACACATTTGTTTTTATACAGTCTGGTTGGGACACGCACGTCAACAATATAAATTTATGCGAAAATATGTTTAGAGCAATATTTATCGCGTGATATTTATTTTAATTTCTGTGCGCAAAGTTCATGACATCGTGAAATGGTCATACATTCTTTCCACCTCAACGAGATGGTCATACACTCTCTCCACCTCATTGTCGAGGCTTAAAAAATAAAATGCAAAGCCGATCCACCTCTCCTTCACGTGCCTGAAATGCCGAGAAAAAGCGAGTGGAAAGGAGGTGACTATCAAATAAATTGCGTCTCACGCCATCAATATTGCTCTAAAGAATATTTTTTTCTTTTTGCGTAAAATTACTTTTTTGACACATGTGCCCTAACCACGCTGTTTAAAAAAATTTGTTTTAGTGGTTTTTTTAAGACATTCTGGACTTAGGAATGATAAATTGTCATGGATGTGGTTAAACAATTTTTAATCAGATATTCCTCCTCGCAAAACCACAAACTCTGACAATGTGCCATTGTGGATAGCATTCAGTGCTTAGCAATTTGCTTTAGGAAAGAAATTAGGTTTAATGCAACATGCATTGGCAGGTAACAACTTTAGGTTATTGTGCAAAGGCAAGAAGAAATGGTCCAAGAAGTCAAGAGTGCTTAAGATTGTAGATACTGTCAAAATGATTAAGCTCTCAAAATAGCTGTATGCAACGAGAAAAGCAACAAATGCTTTACTACATTTTGGGTGCAGTGCTAGAAGGAACTCTGACCTGGAGTAGATCAGGCTTGAAAATAAAATGCTACCACTCACATCTTTCCTCAGAATGAGGCAGTCCCTCTCTTCGCCGAACCATGTCACAAGTAGTATCATCAGTGCCAAGCACCCAGCTTCTGGACTTGCATTGTCTCCAGCTTTTGCAATGTCTTCCATTAGCTTGGTATACTCATTTTCTGTCCTCTTGTCCAGTCTCATTAGTTTGAGAACTACATCCTTCTTCTTTTGCAGCGACTCCCTTAGTCTGTCTTGAATATCAAAACTGCATAGGGCACTAAAGTGACAGAAGAGACCAGAAGGGACGAACAAGAAGGGCCATGCACACAACAGTTCTCTCATTGGCATCACTTCAGAGTTAATGTCCCTACGTTGCAATGGATATGTTGATCGCATGAGCTTAAGGACTTCATCGGTGTTGGCCGACACCTTTCACGAAACATTGCCTGCAATCTCTCTTTGTCGCTGTTCATTTCCAGCTCTTCCTCAAGTGTGTAACCTGGGGAACTGCTCTGACACCCGTAGCTACGCTCTTTCCTCTGTTTTCGATTTGTGTGCGTCGGCACTGCTATCTTTTCCGTGTCTTCACGTCTCACGTTTTCCACCCTGGCAAGAAGCTGGTTCAGGAGAGAATCATGTCCTGTTCCAACCACTGTTCCATCCAAGACATCTTTGAAAGACAATGGGTACTGGTCCACCACTTTTTTTGCAATCATGTCCAGCTGCTTCCTCAGTGGCCGTGGGCACATTTCCATTGACGTCTTTATGATGAGTCTGACCATTTCCCTGCGATCTTTGGGCAAAGGCCGTTTGTTTTCCTTTAGGGCCTGTTGTAGCCTTGGCGGCATCTCCTTCCACTGTATGTCAAAATTGTTTGCCCAGGTTGAGTCGACATGGTAACTTGTTTTTGATGAGGTGCTGGCTTCAGAAGAGGTAGCCCCAAACTGTTCTGGAGTTTTGCTGTCGGAGACATCTACATAAAGGATTAAGAAAACAGGAAGTTTAGAATATTAGTGCGGTGAGTGCGTGAGGGGTGCGAGGGCGGTGAGTGGCGTGAGGGCTATGAGTGCGTGAAGGCCGTGAGGGCAGTGAGGGGCATGAGGGCAGTGAGTGGCGTGAGGGCCATGAGTGTGTGAGGGGTGTGAGGGCCGTGAGGTTCAGTGAGGGTGAGTGAAGAACTGAAGGTGAGTGTGACTGTGAGGATGAGGGTGAGTGAAGTGCTGAAGGTGAATGTAGCTGTGAGGGTGAGTGAGGGGCTTAGGTGAGTGTGGCTCTGAGGGTGAGGGTGAGTGAGGGTGACCTAAAATGCCGACCTCTGAATTTTGGTGTCCTGGGCTTTTAAAGGAGCTGTGCAACGATTTTAACGTTGGAAGAATTGGGATCTTTTACTTTTGATATTCACCTTGTCACAAATGACAGAAAACACATCTCCTTTCATCGAAATGTTGCGATTCCGCCGCATGATAGCGAGGCAAAACTTAGAATATTCACCGACCTGCAGCCGCGAGCGGCGGCCATGAGAAACACGCGGCATGACGTCAATGGGGAACCTTGTAAAAAGATAGCAAGTTGTGCGAATACCTGCTCGATAAAAGGTAACTTTTTTTATAAATCTTGGCGTTCCAACATATATATAAATGCGTCAAAAACCTGGTATCATCGACAAAACTTTTATTATACGGAGTTTTAGTGGCACAATCTATCCTAGGTCCACAGAACCGTGAGCTCTATCTGCTCCCGCGAACAGCCGCCAGAAGCCGGAGGCGGAGGGGGACAGAGCCGGTCAGGTATGGCGGGACCCGGATGAGACTTTCCTCCTTTCACCATAGTGTTCGCGCTGCGCCCGCCAGCACGTGGTCGCGAGCGGATGAGTTCTCGCTTCTCACTGACAACTGTAAAGAGAGAACTTTTCCGGAACCCCGCACCTACCCCATCAACGTCACTGCGCACGTGACCTGGAAGACGACGTACGAGTTGAGAGGCGGCAGAAACCTGGATCTTTTTCATTTTTTAAAATAAAACTGGGGTATCCAGGCAAAATCTGTTTTCTGTAGTTCACTTCAGAAGTGTCAGGCATCAACTTCCATAATTATTTAAGAAAGCCCTGAAATTGTTGCACAGCTCCTTTAAAGGGCCCATGAAACGATTTTTGGGTTGGGATAAATCATTTTAGATTGGAATTTTACTAATAGCACATCGTTCAGTGGACCAAAAGAAAAAAAGTAGGAAGTCAAAAGCCTGACTTTCAGTGCGAAAATTTGAAAACAGAGCGGACTATTTCGTACCTCCTCCCCTTCGCAACCTCTCTGCCTTTTCACTGTGATACATCCGCGGTCCCAAAAGCGTGTCATCGGGTCCAAACTGACGTCACACGCAACCGGACCTCACTTATTCCCTTCACCTCTAAGCTGACATTGTGGTGGAAGCTACGCGCTTGCCGGACCAATCAGCCGCCTCCCTTTCATCACCTGACTTCATTCTCTGCAGCCACATTTGACACGCTCACGTGGCAAGTGTGGCTGGCCCAAGGAGCACATAGCTTCAACAGCACTGTCAGCTTCGGAATGAACGGGGTGGGGAAAGCAACTTTTGTCTGAATTTTGAGCGACGGGCTAATCTTCTAGCGGAAGAATGGATATGTCCGGGATTACACAAACGAGAGTGCGAGCAAGAGGGGACACCCCCTGTTCGTCTTCTTTAACTGTTTGGTACAATGCGCTATTTATGAGTTGAGGAGGAAAGCTAAACAGGAAAAAGTTGGAAAAGCGTTTCATAACCCCTTCAAGCATAACCAGAATGTTTCGACGAGAAAGCTGCTCTCCCACAAGTTCACCGAACATGATTCGCTGCTGCAGTTAATTGTCGCCAAACTTGTTAATCTGGATTAAACTACCTGCGGAACACAGGCTCTCACTTGTCACAACCACAGTATGTCCGAAAATGCAGTCTGTTTATTTAGGCGTCGATTGTGTTTGGCGTCTGGTTCCATTCGGTGTTGGCACATCTGCAATACTTTTGTTTCCAGATAGTGGAAAAGTTGACCGGCCAGCTAATTGATTTGTTGGGAGATTGGAAAACGAGCAGCAGGAAGTACTAAGATGTGAGTAAAGTAAAATCTGAGAGTTTGTGTCACAAGAATGATAGTATGTCAGCAAATAGGTTGATCCTCACAAAGGAATGCAACCTTGTGTCCAGCAGCTAATGTGCATCCAGCCGTGTGTTGGAGTTGAGTAGGTACTTTTGGCACCTACCAAAGACTTGGGTACATATTAATTGTGGTCCGACTTAACTGCACTTTGAGCAAATAAGCCCTTCAGCCTTGTTCATATATAATTAGGGTTCCATGTTTTCGAATGAATTTAATAAAACCCAAAAAACGCTCGCAGCTAAAACTTTTTATAAAGCTTTTTTGTCAATTCGGATTTTTTCTGAAAAACGCTGATTTTGGAGGTCACGATGGCAAACAAATCTTAGTTATTTTGCATATGCCTGATCAATGCGAAAGGCCACTAGCCTTGAGGAGATGCGTGATGTTGACGAGGATAATGTATTTTTCGGTGACGACAGGAGGAGCTAAGCATCCGACTCTATTAGCGGTTTTCCTTGTCTTAAGTTTAGACTGTACCATCTCTGATTTCTACAGGAAGTAAGGGCGGCCTTTTTTCTGTCACAGTGGGTGTTATGTTCCCGTCGATTTCATGGGAGGAGTGTCTGCGAGAAGCTGAAGTTTTAACATTCTCCCCTGCACCCGGTTTACAGCACATTCGTGTAGTATCTGTGATAGTGAGGATACGTTTTGGGGACAGAAGCACTTACACTAAAATACAAACACTGTATGCTTGTGTTTATTACATCAGGCTTGTTTGTAATACATCCAAGTTTTGAACTGCAAGGCAGTGCTCTATTTAAATATTTTATACAATAAAAATTTCTGTCAGCGTTCTTTGATGTTTCTTTCACTGACTATTATTTATTCCTGTTGTAATTTTTCTGAATAAATACTGTGAAATTAATATCAAAATATTGTAAAATTGAAGACTGAAAAAAAAAACAAAAAAAAAACATTGAATTTTTAATAAAAAATAAAACTTCGAAAAACATTTTCCAAATTAAAAAAAAAGATAAACTCCAAAAACACAGAACCCTATATACTATAATGTATTGCAGAGCATAATATGCTCTGCAATACATAATATAATTGCCAGTAATAGTCTGAGTAGAAAAAATATTGTACTTACTCTGTGGCTTGAGGTAGGCGACGAGTTTCCTGGCTTGGATTGGTTTGAGTATGCTTGCGAGGTCTCCCTCAGTCAGAAAGTTGAGGTCACTTGGGCACTCTACGCCAAGGCTCATAAATTTGTTGAGGACGCTCTCAACCTCACCCGAGGTCAGGTTTGGCAAGGCCGCAATTATTTGTTCTTTGACGGCCTGCATCCTACGAAGGAACCCAGTGTTTTGGGATGATCATCATTGCATTCTGTACCTTATACGCAGGTAGTGGGTAATAATCCGTTAGTTGATCAATGTGCATGCATGCAAACTGCTCTGATGCATGCACTGCATATGAATGCAAATGTGGCAAATATGTTGTGCTATAAACTTTCACAGCAGTGAAGAGATTATTTCTGTTATGAATTAACAGCAACATTATTTCACCAAAGCACAACTCATTGTCCATGCAGGTAGGTACGAAGGCACCAAATGAGTAGTGTTAAGTTTGTAGCAATCTTGCTTATTAGTTAAGGTGATTTTTGTTAGGAAAGTTTGTCTTTCCAGAGTTGCGTCGGCATTGGTTTGTTTTTTTAGCTTTCTATGTTCGTGTCGGCGGGGCCAGAGCGTCTGCGATGCGGGAGCGGTTCCCCCCGCGGTCGTTAAGAGGCGTCTCGGGTTTCGGCAGCCTGCTCGGACCGGGAGCGGGACAGCCCGCGCTTGGAGAGGCTTGTAGCTTTTAGCCGAATGTGCCTGTACATAGAGGTTTTTGCCGCTTAGTATCAAATTGTCGCCTTTTACCCGTTGTAATAATTTAGCTGTTGGCGCCAGTCCGTCTGCGTAAAATGCAGGGGTTGATTCTAGAAAGAATTTGGATTTGGCCGTTAGAAGTGCCAGGCTGACAGCTCGCCGACCATTGGAGAACAGTGTATCACGTGGGAGTGGTGAACTTTGAAGGGATTGGTTGGACCCTGAGGGGAAAGGAGGCCCCTACGAGGCTACAAAAGGATCCCCGAGAGGGATTCTGGAGGATTGGCTTCGATTCGATTTTGGGAGACTGGGAACAAAAGTACGGGGTTTAATTTTGGGATTTTCACTCACTGTTGAGTTGTTTTGTTTCATAATAAACGTGGCCACACTGGCCACCGTAAAGTCAACCAACGTCGCAATGTGTTCAGCGGGATCGAACAACTTTTAGTATTTTTTTTTTATTATCAACTTCCCCGGGGGCTGTCATCGGGCGAGCACCGTACGTCATCGGTCGTCACCATCCGGACCAGGACTCGCCCACCCCCATACCATCCAGGTCCAGGCCCGGCGAGGGAAGTTGACTGGCGCAGTCGACAGGATCCCGCTGACTTCCTGCGACGGGTTGCGAGAAGAACGCCACAACGTCAGCTGACGGTGAGCCCCGCCAACATCTGAGTGAGAAGGCGGAGGCAATAGCCTGTTGCGTTGTGTGCGGCGGACGGAGCGGCATCCCAGCGAGAGGCTCCGGGAGTCAAGGGACTCAAGAAGAACGCCACGACGTCAGCTGATGGTGAGCCCCGTCAATATCTGCGCGAGAAGGCGGCTGCAATAGCCTGTTGCGTCGTGTGCGGCGGACGGAGCGGCATCCCAGCGAGAGGCTCCGGGAGTCATAGTACTCAAGAACACCGCGACGTCAGCTGAGGGTGAGCCCCGCCAACATCTGCGTGAGAAGACGGCGGCAATAGCCTGCTGCGTTGTGTGCGGCGGACGGAGCGACATCCAAGCGAGAGGCTCCGGGAGTCAAAGGACTCAAGAACACCACGACGTCAGCTGAAGGTGAGCCCCGCCAATATCTGCGTGAGAAGACGGCGGCAATAGCCTGCTGCGTTGTGTGCGGCGGACGGAGCGACATCCAAGTGAGAGGCTCCGGGAGTCAAAGGACTCAAGAACACCACGACGTCAGCTGAAGGTGAGCCCCGCCAATATCTGCGTGAGAAGACGGCGGCAATAGCCTGCTGCGTTGTGTGCGGCGGACGGAGCGACATCCAAGCAAGAGGCTCCGGGAGTCAAGGACTCGAGACAGACGGAAGGAAACATCGCGGCGGAGCCACAGGGACGCCCCGGGAAACTGCGACGCCACGGCGAGACCCTCGTTGCCAGGTAAGACCCAGGGTTGTTTTCTCCGAGGCTCACAATGTCCGTGGTCACTAGGTCTAAAGCGAAGAGCGGCTCTTCGGGTGCAGACAGTAATGAGGACGAAAGTGGCGAAGAGTTAACTTCGGGAACAGCCGACGAGGCAGTGGGCATTGGCCCATCAGATAGGACCCTCGAAATACTGAAACTCCAACTGGAGATTGAAAGGGTAAAGCTGGCGCAGGTTCAGAGCAGGAGTGAAAGGGGTTCGAGGGACTCGACAAAAATGGGGGAGCTCGCGAAAGAACTCCGCGCCGTCCTCGCGCCGATGCCGGAGTCTGGAGCCCTCGCTCCGGCATGGTTTAAGAGCGCTGAGACGATGATGAATAGCTGTGAGACACCCGAGGAAGCGCGAGGAGCGATCATTTTGCCGTTTCTCGGAGAAAAGACCAGAGCAATGGTCGCTAGTCGAGCCGGCGGTAGAGTGCTCTCTTTCATGGAGCTGCGTGAGCTGGTCCTTTCGGAGCTAAAAATGACTCCGGAAGAGTACAAGCGGATATTCTACAAAACACGCAAGGAGAGCGCGGAGTCGTGGTCTCAGTTTGCAACCCAGCTCGACATTATGTTCGGCTATTACTTAGAAAGCAGGGAGGTTGAGACAGTTGATGAACTGCGGAAATTGATAATTTCAGACCGAATGAAGCATCTCATGGCGGAGGACGCGCGCATGTATGTCCTGCAAAATGAGACTAAGGACTGGCTAAGGCCAAAGGAGCTCGCGCAGCTGGCTGAAAGGTTCGGGGAAAGTAAACGAGGGACTCGTGGAGGCCTCGAGAAACGTGAGAGCACTGGGAAACAGTTTGTTCCAAAACAAGACCAGAGGTCCAATAAGGGGACAGCTGCAGGAAGAGGAACATGGGATCGATCGAGCGCTGTCAGGTGCCATACATGTGGGAAGCAAGGACACTATCGCAACGAGTGCCCGCAGAGCAGGCCCGTCGGAGATAAAGGGCATGCCGAGGCCGGGCGGTCGGGCGCGCCGAAGCTTGCGGCGAGAGCGGCGGTGGGGCCGGTGGGTCGACCGACAGAAGCACCTGTTGCAGTTGAAGCTGACGAGGAGACAACGGGGCTGACGTGGTTGACTCTTCAAACCGGAAACGTGTCGTTCCAGGCTTTGTTAGATTCGGGCGCGGACATAACGGTACTGAGGTCAAGTATTGTGATTGATCAGGTACGCGGCCAGGGGAAAGGCAAGGTCAGTCTGAGGGGGGCGTTCGGACACAAGGTGTCCGCCGACCTAATGTACGTGCCGTTGGGCCTAGAACTAGCTGGTAAAGATATGAGTCCGCAGGTGACAATCTTGTGTGCTGTAACTGATGAACTAGCTGAAGGGGTTGATGCGCTACTCACGCCGGACGCGCTAGAGGAGCTAGAACGGGCGCAGAAGCTGCTCAGTGAGGAGGCAAAAGAGATTATCGCGATCGAGGAAGCACGGACAAAATCAGAACAGTCGAGAAAGCAAATCACTCCGCTAAATTTTGAAAGTGAAGCAGACGCGGAAGAAGCCACTGAGGCCAGCGCCGTAAATTTGGTGACCGGCAGTGTCACCCCAGAAGCAGCTGATCCGACTTTTGCCGAGGAGCAAAAGATAGATAGTACGCTGGAATCCTTGTGGGAACAGGCGCGTTGCGGAACGCATGGCATGGTAATCCGGAATGGACTTTTGTTTCATGAACAGGAGGTTGAAGGGAAAAAAGAGATGCAACTGGTGCTGCCGAAGTCTCGTCATGCCGAGGTATTACGGCTGGCACACGACACCCCGTGTGGGGGGCATTTCTCGCAAAAGAAAACTAAACAGCGGATTAGAAGTGCTTTCTTTTGGCCAACGATGGCCGCTGACGTGAAACGGCATTGCCAGGCTTGTCACGAGTGTCAGGTATGCTCCCGAGGGAAAGTTACAGACCGGGTCCCGATAACTCCGTTGACGAGGCCCGAGCGACCCTTTGAGACGGTCTACATGGACTGTATCGGTCCGCTCGAGCCGAGCTCGGCCCGTGGCCACAAATATGCATTAACTGTAGTGGATCTGTGTACGCGATGGCCCGAGGTCATACCCCTGCGCTCACTTACGGCAAAAGCCACGTGTCAGGCGCTGGTGGACGTGTTTTCGCGTTATGGGGTGCCTGAGCTGATTTGCTGCGATCAGGGAACCAATTTCACCTCCCAACTCACGAAAGAGCTCCTTGACCGCCTCGGTGTGCAGATCAGGTTCTCAGCACCAGACCACCCCCAGAGTAACGGAATTGTTGAGCGCTGGAACGGCACATTTAAAGCTATGCTTCGACACGTGGTGAGCGAGAAAGGAGGGCAGTGGGATCTTTATGTGCCTTGCCTTCTCTGGGCGTATCGGGAGGTCCCCAACGAAATTACGGGGAGCTCCCCGTTCGAACTGATGTATGGCAGGGAGCCACAGGGCCCGTTAACGATACTGAGAAAGACATGGACGGGAGAGTGGACGCCGCCATTGGGCTTAAACAAACCGACAGCTGAGTATCTCAGAAGTTTAAGGGACAGAATGGCAGAAGCGGCGCGAGTGGTGAACGAGCACTCCGAAGCTCTGCAAAGTGCCTATGCGCAGAAGTATAACTTGAGAGCGCGTCCGAAGAGCTTTGAAGTAGGGGAACAAGTGCTTGTGCTCGAGACGGGTATGGCGAACAAGTTGCAACCTAAGTGGTTGGGACCTGCCGTGGTCACAGAGCAAAAACGCTCGGACAGTTACATTGTCCGCTTTGCTGAGGGGAACGAGCGCTGGGTGCATGCGAACAAGTTGAGGAGATACATAGTGCACGCGAACAATGTCGGCGTGATCTTCGAGTCGGATGACGACTTTGGACCCGTGGAAAGCGTGCCAAGCGGACATACACATGACGTTAGTGTCGAGGAAATCCTCGCGGGCTCTGAGAACCTGACCCAGAGTCAGACAATGGGCCTAAAACAGCTGTTGATGGGGTTCCCGTCGGTGTTTTCTGAGCGACCTGGACGATGTGAGGTAGGGGTCCATCGGGTAACTCTCGTACCTGGAGCGAAAGCGACTAAGTCGTATCCGTACAAGGTACCGCTCGCTCTTAGAGCCGAGGTCGAGCGACAGATTGCTGAACTGCTTGATTGGGATTTTATCTACCCCATCGAGAGCAGCTTCGTGCACCCAATTGTGTGCGTTGCAAAAAAGGATGGAACGGTGCGCATGTGCATAGATTACCGACAGCTAAACGCCATGTCAGAAACCGACAGCTTCCCGATGGGAAATGTGACAGAGTTGTTGTATGATGTAGCCAAGGCTCGCTATATTTCGCTCCTAGATATGACAAGGGGTTATTGGCAGATCCCAGTTGAGGAGGAGTCGCAGCGTTATACTGCTTTTGCGACACCTAGTGGCCTTTATGCGTGGAAGGTAATGCCTTATGGTCTAAAGAACTCTGCGGCCACCTTTCAACGGGTGATGAATGAGCTACTGAGAGATCACAGGAGCTATGCATCCGCATACATTGATGATGTAGCAATATACTCAGAGACGTGGGAGCAACATTTAGAACACCTTCAGAAGGTACTCGCCACCATCGCAGAGGTGGGATTGACGGTCAATCCTAAAAAGTGCAAGTTTGCCCAACCAAAGGTAAGGTACCTGGGGCATGTAGTGGGTTCATTGGGCCACTCCCCCGACCCCGAGAGGACGGGCGCAATATCGGAACTGAAGGCCCCTAGGACGAAAAAAAGATCTCAGAAGCGTCCTGGGTCTCTTCAATTATTATCGAGACTATGTTCCGGGGTATTCCGACGTAGTGCGCCCGTTGACGGATCTCACGAATCGTCGGGTGCCGAACAACATTCCGTGGAGCATGGAGGCGGAGCGGGCATTCTGCTCGGTGAAGGCGACACTCGCTAAGGTGCCGACGCTGGCAGCCCCGGATCCCAATAGGGAGTTTGTCTTGACCACCGATGCATCGGAGCGGGCGATTGGGGCGTGCCTATCCCAGGACTTTGAGGGTGTGCAGAGGCCGATTGCGTTTCTAAGCAAAAAACTGACGGCCGCTCAGACCAAATGGTCAGCGATTGAGAGGGAGGCGTTCGCTGTTGTTTGGGCTTTGGGGCGCTTGGACACCTGGCTGTATGGCACAAAAATCAGGGTCGTAACCGACCATAATCCACTTACGTACCTGACACGCTCGACGTCCTCCAGTGCTCGCTTAACGAGGTGGTCGTTGGCGTTGCAAAAGTATGACATAGAGATATCGCACATAAAGGGCGCACTTAATTCCTGCGCAGATGCACTGTCGAGGCTCGACAGAGATTAGAGGAAGCGCTGGCGGAGGGAGACGCTGAGAGGTGTCTGTAGTTTCCTTTCTTGGAACATTTTGCATTTGTTTTCAAATCGCATAGTTTTAGTTTTATTTTGAATTTTTGTTTCTCCTAGTGCGAACTTTATTAGCAGTGGAGTGTCTGGTAGTGTTTGCACCCGTACAGTAGAGCTTTCCGATTTCCGGGTTTCTATATATACACGGACATTGTGGAATCTGGAATGTACGGCTCTGGGTCTTGCTCTGTGCTGTGTGTCTCCGAAGTGACTTACAGTGGGACTGATGTTGCGCGAACAACAAGTGTACTTGCAACATTCTTGGTGGGGAGGTGTTAAGTTTGTAGCAATCTTGCTTATTAGTTAAGGTGATTTTTGTTAGGAAAGTTTGTCTTTCCAGAGTTGCGTCGGCATTGGTTTGTTTTTTTAGCTTTCTATGTTCGTGTCGGCGGGGCCAGAGCGTCTGCGATGCGGGAGCGGTTCCCCCCGCGGTCGTTAAGAGGCGTCTCGGGTTTCGGCAGCCTGCTCGGACCGGGAGCGGGACAGCCCGCGCTTGGAGAGGCTTGTAGCTTTTAGCCGAATGTGCCTGTACATAGAGGTTTTTGCCGCTTAGTATCAAATTGTCGCCTTTTACCCGTTGTAATAATTTAGCTGTTGGCGCCAGTCCGTCTGCGTAAAATGCAGGGGTTGATTCTAGAAAGAATTTGGATTTGGCCGTTAGAAGTGCCAGGCTGACAGCTCGCCGACCATTGGAGAACAGTGTATCACGTGGGAGTGGTGAACTTTGAAGGGATTGGTTGGACCCTGAGGGGAAAGGAGGCCCCTACGAGGCTACAAAAGGATCCCCGAGAGGGATTCTGGAGGATTGGCTTATATTCGATTTTGGGAGACTGGGAACAAAAGTACGGGGTTTAATTTTGGGATTTTCACTCACTGTTGAGTTGTTTTGTTTCATAATAAACGTGGCCACACTGGCCACCGTAAAGTCAACCAACGTCGCAATGTGTTCAGCGGGATCGAACAACTTTTAGTATTTTTTTTTTATTATCAACTTCCCCGGGGGCTGTCATCGGGCGAGCACCGTACGTCATCGGTCGTCACCATCCGGACCAGGACTCGCCCACCCCCATACCATCCAGGTCCAGGCCCGGCGAGGGAAGTTGACTAGTAGGATGTCCCTTTGTATGAAACCTCATTTGTAACCATGGTGTCTTCTGACGTGAAGTTAAAACTGCCTAAGCATTTCTGGAGAGCTTCCGAGTAAGTTGAAATTAGAAAAGGCATTCCTGCCTTCATTACAATGTCAGGATCGAAAAATGCCTCAGAGTGCAGGTATGCCTGCAACAGCTGGTGTCGTTCAGAAAGGGTTTTGTTCAGTGCCTTGAAATTTTGCAGGCGTCTCACACAATTTTTGAAAAATGAGTGTTTGCTTTCAAACCTCAACGTCCACAGGTTTATTAGTGGACCAAGCTGTGTGATGAGCGTGGAGTAGTGAAGCAGGTAGTGGTGCTTTGGTTTCAGAGGTGCCATAGGAAATAACTCTTTGCGGTCTGCAAGGTACTCTTCAACTAGCACATGCAAGTAGGCAACCATTTCTTCATTTACTTTGGGAGCGCAGATAATGTCAACCACCTTCCTTAAGGTAAGGTAGAGGCACCAGATGGGATCTTTAGTGTCAACTTTATGGCTAACAAACAGAGGAAGCAGGCGCAGCAAATTCCATGTTTTAACAGCTTCACCAACTAACTTATTTCCTTTTATGTTTACTTCACAGGGTTTGCTAGTTGTGTCAGAGCCCAAGAACTTGAAAGATGCTATCCTGAAGTTCAGGTATTTCAATGAGAACCACTCGCATGTCTCTGTAAAGTGCTTTATGAAAAGGAGAAGGTCGTATGAAACAACACCTTCAAAAAGGTCATGTGCTATGCAAGGAGGAAGTCCCGCATCACATACATGAAAGAATGTCAGACTGTTAAATGGGCTGTTTGATTTCACCCCTTCAACAGACGACCCAGTCTCTTCAACCTCCTGAACTGCCAAATCATACTTTTCTGCAGTCCTTTTTTCACCAAGCCGACACGGATCCTCTCTGAACTCTTTTCGTGTGAGTAGGCAATAGCGGCAAATGAAAGTGGAGGAACTGAAGTTTTCGGTGAAGCCCCCGATAAAGTGAGATCCCAAGTTATCTCCGAGGATACATACGACTGTCCCCTTGACGTGCACACCATCAAAAAGAATTCCGTTCAATTCGAGATCGAGCAGGTCACGTAAAAGAAGAGAAAAAATTTTTTCGATTCCAAAAGTTTTGATGTCTTTCTCAGCAAAAAGAAGAGCCAGCTGAATGTGATCTCTGGTAGATCTCCTGTGTTTTTTGAAATTTGCAAGAGTGAAGTAGACACCAACAAGTTTGTGCTTCTTCCTTGCGGATCCCAAAGGATTCACAACCTCAAAAGCGTCCTGATACAGCAGTAGCTTAAATGTTGGCAGCCCAGTACTAAAGAGAGGATTTGATTTGTAGGCTGAACCGTCTGATATGTCTTGCATGTAGCTCGCGTCCCTGTCATCTAAAGACGTGTTAAGAATGCAGTCAGCAAGCGAACCATCCTGCAGTAGGCTTTTTAAGCTTTCCAGTACTGGCACATATTGAAATGAACGATCTCTCTTGTTTCCGTCACGCCCAAGATAAATCTGCACTGGCTGGACGTATGAAAACTTTTGTTTAAAGTAGGCTCTTCTTTTGTGTTCACTATTGAACACGGTAGCATTCAGACTGCTGAATACATCGTGGCTGTTTACATCCGCAACAATTTCTTTAGCATCAGCCGTCCCCAGGCGTTCCTCCAACTTGTCATGCAAGGCTTTAAACATGCACTGCTTACTCGAGCCATGCAGGTTTTCGATTTCTTGCCACAAATGCTGAACTGTGGAAGCAGGTAAGCAGTACTTAGAATCTAGCTTTAGGTAAAAGAGAGCCAGATCGTACTCGACACACTCTTTTAACTCACTTGGAGACGGTGAAAACTGAGGGGTGCCACCTACAGAGTTAGCACCCCCCATGCTTGCATCTTTTGGAGAAGCACTGCTCTGACAACCGGTTGCAACTAACACGTTTGCCTGTTGCCCTGAAGAACTGGTTGCGCCTAAGGCGCTTGCCTGTTGCTCAGAAGAACCGCTCGCTTGTTGGGCTGATTTTACATGTTTTCTTGATAGGTGAGACGCAAACGTAGGTTTCGCAGTGAACGACTTGTCACAGCTAAAATACGGGCAACTGACTGACTGCCCGTTGTCGATGTGCTCTCTAAGATGAGTTACTATCTGAGCCCTACTCGAGCACTCGCGAACGCATCCGTGCACGCCGCACTTTAAGTTTACGTCACCCGTTAAATCGAGCCGAGGTCCACTCGCGCGCAGTTGACCTTTATGAAACCGTAAGATGTGACATCTGAGCCCTACATAAGTAGTGAACTGCAAACAACAAGTTGCGTGTATACATGGAATCTGCCGCGCTCCGAACTCGTGGCTGTCATAATGACGCACATATTCGACTAACGTGGTTGACCCCTTTGAACAGACACGGCAAACAAACATGGTTGTTCAAGCCGTCGCCTCACTAAAGCGAGAGAAAAGAGCTAAGACCGACAAATCGCGAGAATGTGCAGTATTAATCTGAAGCTATCTTTGGCTGGTTCTCAATCGCTTGTGCTCCCTTCCCGAAAAGGAGCGCGAACGACGATCGCCAGCCGGCCAGCGATGCACTCCGTCAACGCACGTGCTGCCGGTTTGTCGGTGCCGGCTCTTTCTCGATCTTGCCGGCCACGGTCATTAATTTTCTCAGAATCGGATCGTGCTTGCCACATTCATATTCAAAATGATACTCACGTTATGTTCGTTTACTATCGGGCCCGCCAAACGCCTCGGGTACTGCGCCGTCAGCCGTCTTGGTAGCCACGGTCGTGCTCCCTACCGCAAACTTTCCTCGCTTTGTTTTCTTCCTTCGGGAAACAAAAGATGGCGACCCGACGTTGGGAACGGCGCGAAAGCGCGATGGGGAGGGCTGTGGGCGAGGGCAGGGTGTAAGATAGACAGGTGGTGAAACGAGAGCCAAATGAGCGACCGGATTGTGTCCCCCTCGGTTTTCTCTTTTTCTGTGGCGACATCTATGTGGAGCACCGCGAACTCTCACTCCAGCTGGCCGAACGCTGGCGACCGGTTAAACTAACGGAGAAGGTTTCTCGTGTATTTTCAATGGAGGACTGTCGTGCTCTCAGTTTATTTTGCGCACTCTCCAATAGAGTTCCATTCAAATTCGATTCCAGTTTTTTTTTCTTCTCGCCGCAGCGCCATCTGTCGCAAATCGGGGGTACCCGCAAGCCTCCCGCAAGCAGACGAGTACACAATCCGGTCACGGCGCTGCGGTAGGTTTCTATGGGCCGTTTCCCCACCTGTCTATCTTACACCCTGGGCGAGGGTCAAGGCGCGAGCCGCGAACTGGAGAGCAGCCCGACGACGCAGGCGCAGAAGGCCTCCAACACATCACGTGCGTCCCGTGCGTGTGTCTGGAGCGTGGCGCGGAGTGTGTAGCGCGCCTCGCTTGGGGCGTTCTGCTTCTTTCCTTCCGTCGCCGTACCTTCTCTCGCTCCTCTCCTTTCCTCCGTCGCCGTACTCTTTTCACTCGAAAAACATTGTCAACATACCGTATTTTTTTTTACGGTGGGCGCCCCGTGACGTTCACGGTCAGGTGACTGTTTATTTCACGGTCATTTTTTACAGTGTGTACTGTTTTCGCCTGCCACCTTTTTCTTTTTGTGCGCTGTCGTTATTTTTTGTGGGTGATTGTTACTTATGCAGGTAGTGAGACAGCTTTTGTCGATGGATGCCTCTTCGCTAGACCAAAAAAAGATCAGACGAAAATTAGCTAAAAAAATGATGAGCCATTCGACTCTGTGAAGGTGGACGACCAGCGAAGTTGTTTAGCATACGATACAGACGTGACAGAATTTCGAACAAAGGTACGAACAGATTTGTTGTCTTGATCTGTGATTATAGTGACGAACGGTACGCACACAGATGTCGAGGACTACCGCCGCCCCGAGGAGCCGGAGGAAACTTGACACGCGGGACGGGACTGCCACCCGGCGGAAGGAAAGGAAAGTAGGCACGCAAGCGCTTGGAACGACGACAAAGAGAGGGTGGTGCGCTTCCCTACTGCCGCTGAATTTGTTCATGGGTTATGTGACACGAAGTCGTGACGTCATTTTTCCCGCTAAATTTAGCGGAAAAACTGAACTGGTGTTGACGTCACGTGACACAAAGTCGTGACGTAATTTCTCTCGCTAAATTGAGCAGAGAACTGAATTATTGTTGAGGTCACGTGACGTCAATTTCACCTCTAAATTTGGCGGGAAAATTTCCCCGCCAAATTTTAGGCTAGGGCCTAGTGAATGATTCGTGTGCGGCCACGGAAATGATGTCACGTCTTCGTGACGTCATGTGATGTCAATTTTTCTACTAAATTGAGCGGGGAAACTGCATTGGTGGTGAGGTCACGTGACGGCAATTTCCCCCCTAAATTAAGCGGGTTAATATCCCCTCCAAATTTAGCAGAAAAACTTCCACGCTAAATTTGCCGGAGAAATTGACGTCACGTGACATGAAGTCGTAACTTCGCATGACGTCACGACTTTGTGACGTCATGGGACGTTACGAATTTATGCACGTGACGGCAATTTCCCGCTAAATTTAGCGGGGAAACTGCATTGGTGTTGAGGTCATGTGCCGTCAAATTTCCCGCTAAAACTAGCAGGGAAATTGACGTCATGTGACACGAAGTCGTGACATCACCAGACGTCACGAAGCTGTGACGTCATTTCATTTGCCGCACACGAAAAATTTACGGGACCCGAGCCATAAACAGCTTCGCTGTAAAATTTAAATAGTGACTCCGCCGTCTGCTGAGCCAAATGGAGCTGAATAATATTATTTTTTGCACCCTACGGTCCATACCACGGCAGGAGGGCTGTGATATGGCCGCAACCTCCTGTGTACTGTATCTGCACCCCTGCCAACCGGCATCGACGGTTGATGTGCTGCGTCCTCCAGCGGCCCCGAAAAAATCCGTTGAAATCAACGAGGGTGACTTGGATGATGGAAGCAGATGCACCGTTAAATTAGCGAAGAACATAATCCACTGCTTTTACTCAACCAAAACTAAATCGCACCGTCATTATCAACTCAACTGACCCTACACATCTTACTACTACTAACGACGGAGTACTGAATGTTTATCCTAAGCAATATATCGACAAATTTAATACACTCGACAAATGATATGCACCGTTCTCTGCCATCGTTTTTCTTCCTGTAAAAAAAAAAAATAATTAAACCCAGTCAGAAGTTTTGTTTAAAACTATTCTTACACGTTAACGGTGATCTTAAGTCCCAGCAATCGTGAGCAAAATACTCAAGATATATGAGACGTTAGGTGCACGCAAATGTCTATATAAGAAATATTTTCAAGAACCGTCTTCATGGACTAGACTAGAGGATGTCCTCCTTCTCGATTAGGTTCCGTTTCAATTCATATAAGTTTTCTTGTTAATCAGAAATAATCGGCGTTGAATTGATTTATTGGCGTAATGTTGCAGCTTTTAAATTGGGGAGGGCTGTAGTGTACCCGTAATTTGGTTTCGGTATTAAAATATCTAACCAACTGCCGTCCGACAGAGAGTGGTGCAGTCGACGCGTAACGGTGCCGTTTCATTGCTAGAAACCGAAAACACTTCACCAGAAGCCGGACTTTATTGGATTCGATTGTTGAGGTGACGGCAATTATAGTAGTTGTTCGGCGGCACAGGCTGCCCAGGGTCGCCCTTTATGGCCACCATGTGCTGACTAGCAGCCGACTGTGGCGCCTTGTTTTTGTTTTTCTGGGGAGTGATGACAGTGCTTGACTTACGTCCACGTTGACTCCGACCACTGGGAAGACATTTCCACCGGACTCATCAAAGCGAAAGAATTCTTTTCCGTCCTTGAACCATTTTGTGATGCTGTGGACGGCATCTTCCAGTTCGTATCTGCAATGCAGTGGCCAGGAGTCGCCTTTTTTGGGCACCCGCGGCACCTCAAGGTTGATCAGCTTCAATGGTGCTACGTTTACTAACATTCCTGCGGATAAGAAACAAAAGGTAATGTTAAATTAAGGCTCCGTGTTTTCGGTATATAACGACAAACATCGAAAATTTGCCATTTTATACGGTTTTTACCAAAATAAAAAAGCAAAAAAAAAAAAAAAACTAAACGTAATTTTTTAGTATGGTTTATCGAAATTAGGAGAGACCGGTAATACACGAAAACTAACTCTCGAGGCCGTTTTTATTAAAATCGGGAAAGGGAGAAAGTACCTCGAAAAGTTACCTTCGAGTAGGTTTTAATTTTATGAAAGACCGTGTTTAGTGCCTTCCGACGGCACTCCACTCGCGCCTACAAGTGCCGTCCACAATAGAGTCGGACGGCGCGTGTATCACTCGGGAGTTCGTCAACAGTTTGGGCTACTCGGGATCCTATGCAGACTCCACTTTTCTGTACAGAGTGTTGCTCCTGGTGTGATACCACAGTGGCTGTGAGGCAGATTCCTAGAAGCTCCACGAAGCAATCGAGGCTCATACCAGCTGCATTTCGGAAGCATTGAAGACCCTGCTCCTCGATGGTTGTTTGGAGGATCATCAGGAGAGCGGCATGGGGAATCGAATGGTACACGTCCTGGATATCCAAGGAGAAACCTGAAACAATTCCACATCCTTTTTCCTGAAGAAAGGAAATCACTCGGTTCGAGCTTGGTAATCTGAAGGGATCGTTTACTTTAACCTGTGATAGAATCTTCGCCAAAACCTATGACACATTGCTTTGCCATGTGTGTTCCTCTGATGAGTTGGTGCGAAAAGAAACTCCGTTTTTTTTTGTGTTTTTGCCGAGAAAAAGACACGCAATTCACCTTGTTGCGATCCTCTGATTTTGGTGTGAGGTCTCTGCATTGTTCATTTTCAAGCAAGTTTAGGATGGCTTTTTTTTTTTTTTTTTTTGCTGATTGAGTTTGTTTTGAATTTACTTGTTTGAAGTTCTTCGCTATGGCTTGTTGGGCTTTTTATCCACACGACCCCGAACCCAGGACTACAAATTTGTCTGTGCGATTTGTACTTTGCGGCATGTGGTAAGAATATCCAAGAAAATCTAAAAGATCAACACATCGAGGCCATTTTTCGGTATGTAGATGACTTTCCCATACTGTGTAATTTCGATGCAGACGGGTTGAGTAACGGGTGTTTAGATGGTGTCATACGCACCTTTGAACACAGCTGCCCAGGACTATCTTTCACCCCGAAACTTCCGGTAAACCAGTCAATACGGTTTCTAGATCTCTCCTTGGAGTTCAGAACTACCCACGTGTGCTGGATTACTCAAAAACTGTTAAACGAGGGTTGGCCACCAAAGCTCTCGTCTCGGTATTACAAAAATCTTGCTCCCGTGGAGTCGGGCAGCTCTGTAGGCTTCGGGACTCTGGTTACGCAAGCACATTCCTAATACCGGTATGCGAGAGCCCTTGCAAGCAAGTGCGGCCAAAGCAGGAAATAAATGCGCAGCCCACGAAAAAGAAGCCCCCCAAACCTCTTGTGGTGATGATATACATCCACGGGATAACGCATCGCCTAAAATAGATCGCTGGCCGACAAGGCGTACAGGTCGTATGCTCAGCCCCCAACAAGGCATATGTCATGTGCCGTAAGGTGAATAGTAAGAGTGGCCAAAATCAGAACTCCACCTGCTTCATCACACACGAAACACCTTACGCCCCAATGACTCCATGCGAGAAAAGAGTTGTGCACAGAATTTTGTTGTCATGTGGCAAGTGCTATATTGGACAAACAGGGCGATGTATTAATGACCACACCAGGGAGCATGCAGCTTCCGCTGCAGGTGCACTAACATCAGCTAACCATCTTCAGGCGCATTGTCGAGTATTCCAGTGTGCTCCTGATTTC